CACGTGGTTTTGATCAGTAGCCTTACTGGTCCCTAGTAACAAGGATTTCAATGTGGTGCGAATCCAGATTATAGCCCTCGCTGGTGCGCCTCCCTTTCAAGGCATCCAGACCGAAGGACAGCACCTGTACAGCTCGGTGTGAGAAGGCCGTCTGCTGTGCCTTTCACAGACTCGCTTTCAGGTAGGAATCCAGACAAAGTCCTTTTCGGGCTGTGGGTTTTGAATTTGGATTTGTGGTTCAGGGTGTTAAGGTATTATAGAGTTTGGCCGTATTTGGCTTGTGGTAGGGCATTTAGGACCTTGCTTAAAGCATTTGCTTTATTGAACTCCAGGCTTTGAGGGAGCAGAGCTACTAGTCCTGGAAGAATATGCGTCATGCGAAGAAAGATCATCATGATGAGACATGAGGCTCTTTGCAACACGAAGCTGCGCTTAGGATATGATAGCCGCAAACTCAAGACCCAATATACTTCAGGTCCGACCGATAATGTAGGTGGAAAGCGAAACGGAAAGCTCCAAACCCAGCATGGTCTGCCCTAAGCACGGGTGTGTTCCTACGAGACAGGAAGGAGGGCAGAGAGTGTCGAGGCCTTCTCGCGGAAGCAAGTGAAATCCAGCTGAAAAAGGTTTGCGGAAGGGAGCCGCAGAAGGCAAAGGATCAAACATTACAAATGCTACAGAAGCTACAGAGAAGGCTATTGCAATGAAATCATTTTCTCGACTGGTTCGTTGCAGTTACCACGTGCAATGTAGCATTTCTTCCAACCACGGCCTAGGAAGGAATGAGATCCTCTTCCTGGTGCCAACGAGAAATTGCGCGCTTCAGTTCTGAGTTCATCACAGCGAGCTTGAAAAGACACTCAGGAAAAGCATTCAATTGAAAGTTGGAAGCTCCAGCACAGCAAGTCTGTCTTCTTGGTAGGATGCATCTGCTGAAGCAACAATGGGTGCAATAGCAGTGCCATCACTGTACGTCGTTGCATTGCACAGCTGCAACTCACGTGTCAGAACGTGGCACGAGCCGTGCACTCATGTGCCACATTTCCGTGGCCGGAACCTGACTTGCAGGGTGCACTTCAGTGAAACTGTGCAGTCGCCTTGACTTCCCCCAAGGCCGGCCCGTTCGAAGCCAGGTGGTCTGGCTCTGACCTTAGCTTACTGTCCACAGCATAATTAAGGGTGCCAGCATGAGTACTGTATCCACAGCAGCCCAGGCAGAAGAGCATCTTCCCGATGTGTTCACATAACTTAGCCGAACGCAAGGCTGGGAAAGCGCAGACAGCCTCGCAAAATGGCAGGGCTGACTTGCGCTTGCGCTTCCGGCCGAGTCGCTTAAGCATTACCAAATTCGGGCAAGCAAGCCTACCTTATCATAGCTTCTACCCAAAGTCAGCCCAGCTCGCGGGTGCTGCAAAAAGCCGCATGCCAGTGCATCTGCCCAAGCTTCGTTGATAGTGACCATCCAGCTCGAAGCGGCTCGCCTTGCTTGGCATGAGCACCTGCATACGCCTGCCTTCGTTAGCACAAATTTCAGAGGTCCTTCATGCCTCAGACAAACAGCCAAGGTCACGGATGCATGGCTGTCTGAGAATGCATACTCGAGACATTTGAGGTCTGTAGGGGTCCGGTTCATGCGGCAGCAGCCGTTGCGGCGTCGACGTGCACATGGCAGACAGGGGCTTGGATGAAGAGTTCCCTCAGTTCTCCCAGCTTCTGTAAGCTCCGAAGGATTGGTAGTGTCCCTTAAATAGCGGTACCCCAAGACAGGCCCCCAAATACTCTGATGCTCGCTATGGGGTCCCCCAAAAAGGTCCCGTAATCTTTGAAAACCCCCTGTTGGCAGTAGTATACATCAGCAGCCAGCATTGTGCAGCATTCGCTGCAGCATTCCTGAGCCTCCAAGGCGCCAGATGACTTGGTGGCTTTGAATGATCGGCTGGAAGAAAGCAAAGAAGTCACCTGTCACAATTGGGACTCTGCTGTAGTTCATTAAGTTCACTGCTCAAATTGAGGTTCGCGGCAAGAGGATAAGTCAAGTGGTTTCAACAGCTGAGGCTCGTGGTGTCCGTGGTGGACTGGGGCGTGTCAAAGGGGCGCAACAAACCCCCTGGGGCAAAACCGGCTACTTGTGTGAGCTATAGTCTGAACTC